AATCATGAAATCCCACTGATAGCCGTTTACCGATATCTACCGTCAACGAGAAGAGCGAAAAACAACACGGAAATAGTGGTTCCTTCATTGAAGTAAATTAATATGAGTAAGCGATACGCAAATACAAAATCATTGATTAAGCACACATCCACCAATCGCCGTTCTTCTCCATGTCAAAATACTTTTGTTTGATATGGATGGCCTTTGATTAGTTCAGACTTTTGGCCTCTGAAACTGTGACGCGTAACGCCAAGGTTGATATTACCTCATGGGTTTGAACCACCCCATTAAATTAACTTTAGATTAAGGGCAATATAGAAACTCCTCGAGACTGCCTTGGACACCTTTTCGGAACAATCGATTGTTCCCAGAAATCGATGGTTTTAAATAACTTTTCCACTTTTTCGTTCATCAAACGAATTAACACACGACTCCTGTGATACATAACTGAATTCGTTAGAAATTACCTCACCACTACCAATCACGTAAAACGTTTGAATAACCGTTGTTAATGGTGTTGAAAAGATTCGTGAAAAATGGTGTATCTGGGAGAGCTGCATCATGATAAGTGTTGTAGTGTCTTACTTATCTATATAATTCTATATGGCATTATTGTATAGCTTGTTTTAATACGCACAGTAAGTTATAACACAATACAAAACTCTGTTCGTGACTACGCACGTGTTCTCCCGGTGTTGCTAAAACATTAGGCGTGCATCAGTTATCGTCAAGCTGTCCGGAAACTGTCGCAGCGATCCTTTGAGCTCCACCGCGCAATACCAACCAGAGTCACACTTCCGAGGAACAGGATCCATCAGCCAACCGGACACTCCTCTTGTGAGTCCGATTCATGTCACTTTCATTTGATTATTCTTTGTATAGGTAGTATCTTTTCTACCACAGTATCATCACTAAAAATTTGTAAATAGTATCGTCTCGGTATTTTGTTGGAGTGCCTATACCCGTTAGAACGATGCCACTCCTGACCTGCTCCTGTGACCTCCGGTTCTATGCCTCTTCTTTTGAATTTGGCAAAGATTAGTGCGCAACTCAAAAATAAGTGATGATTTCATTTTCCGAGCACGACCAACGGAACTTTGTTAACACCTGTCTCCTGAGAGCAAACCTCGACAACTGAAGATAAGCATCCATCACACTAGTAACGAAATGAAATATGCGCGCACAGAAACAGAACGCTGCATACGAAACAACTCTGTGGCACTGTTTCTATTTCACTTAAGTTTCGTCAGGGCACAGACTACGCTATTCGCATCACATTTGGCCAACGCCGTTTCGGATACACCAATTCCCGATAGCAACCGACGGAGGCCAATTAGGCTCTTTCATTCTCGTATGAATATCATTCAATCCACGCACAAAACCGCGGTCATGTGAATGTTGCATAATCAAAGATTCCTATCTTTTGTGTCGAACAGATGACGTACCAGCGTCGATTTTGTCGTTTATCTCTTTTTCTTCCTATACCTTTTTCAATTTAAGATGCAAACAATAAATTTAGGAAGTCACAGCATCAATTGAGGTTAACCGAATACCAATTCAATTAAAGATCTTCGAATATCAATTTACGATGTCATGTTGCTATGTGGATAGTACGATATTGCGATTGTCCCATCGCAATTGCATCGCCAGGTGCAGACAATATTTACCCCCGAACCCTTATCTGCTTGGCGAATCAAATTTCCGAGCCACTAGCCTTCCTGTTCCAGAGGATGTTCGATTACACCACAATCCCATCGTCATGAAGCAGGGAGGTAATTTCACCTATTTATAAAGGTGGTTGCCGTAGCGATCCCGCTAACTACCGCCCTGTAACCCTCCTTCCTGTGCTGTCCGAAGTCATGGAGTCCATAGTAGCAGATTCGCTGATGGAACACCTAGGGAAGCACAATGTTTTGTCACCAAATCAATATGGATTTCGACAGAAGCGATCCTGCGCTACCAGTTTGCTGATCGCACGAGAAGAATGGACAAGAGCAGTTGATGATGGTGACGCGGTGGACGTAATTTATCTTGACTTCTCAAAAGCTTTCGATCGGGTAACTCACGACATTCCACTGAGGAAACTCTATAACCACGGGATTCGGGGCCTCGCGCTTGGCTGGATCGAAGCATTTCTCCGACATCGGACCGTATCGGTTCGTGTTTCTGATTCGCTTTCCAGTCCTATGGACGTTACCTGTGGGGTTCCACAAGGATCTGTGCTTGGCCCGCAACTTTTCCTAACGTTCATTAACGATCTACCGAAGACTCTGGGGCGAAAATCATTACTGTTCGCAGATGACGCCAAAATTTGGAATACAGTAACGCAACCGACTGGCTCACTGGCACTCCAAGAAACGTTGAATGCAGTTCATCTGTGGTCCCTTATGAACGATGTAGAATTCAATGTGCCAAAATGCAAGATTCTATCTCTACAGCACAGGGGGAGATTTTCATATTTCCTCGGAAATGAACAACTGCCACACGCCACAAGTGAAAAGGACCTGGGTATCATCATTCAAGAAAACTTAAGCTGCTCACACAACTGCACCAAGGTGTCCAACGCAGCTGTAAAGAATGTCGGCTTGCTTAAGCGGGTCTTCGGCCGGTTTGAGTCAGCTTTAATCCCCCGCCTACTATCAGCATACATTCGACCACTCACAGAATACGCTATCCAGGCCTGGAATCCATGGCTACAGCGTGATTGCAAGATGCTGGAGCGTCCACAAAGGATGGCCACAAAAATGGTCAGGGGTTGAATCGGTTCTCATACGCAGAGAGACTGAAGTCACTGGGATTATATTCCAATCATTACCGGCGCATCAGAGGAGATATGATTATGGTATACCAAATAATGCAAAACCCAAACCATCCGTGTCGCCCGCTTCTGAAATTATCACCCAACGTTCATCTTAGAGGACACCCATTTAAACTGGTGGTCTCAAAATGCCGCTTGGAATGCCGGCGTTAGTCATTCGCAGTCAGAGTGTGTTCGATCTGGAACTCTCTACCATCCTACGTCGTCTGTGCTTGTCTTGTACTTTTTGCGATGCTCTTGTTGTCATTTTCAGTCCATGTGATGTTGTGATCGCAAGCCTGCTGTACATGCAAAATTCACTGGGCCTGCGAAAGACTCGCGGCTGTAGACAAAGTGTGGTTTCTCGCTTGGGTTAGCTGGACAAGCACCAGGTCCCTTGTTGCGACTGCACTATCCGACCGATCGATAAGTGAACCCAATCCGTCGTGTGATTTTTGGCATGGCATAGGGGGAGGATAAGTTCTGAATCCGATGCTGCCTGTGTTGCAATCCGAACGGGAGAAATCTATACTAGTACGTTCCTCACGGCGTGTTGATTGTTGTCCTGTGGCGAGATTCGACATCGAGTGGAATCTGTAGGTATGCGTCCGCCAAATCGATCTTGGAAAAATACTGGCACCCATGCAATGACTTCATGAAATCCTCTGGTTCGACGGTGGTGGCTGCACATCTCCGCAACCGGGGATTAAACGTCATTCAATAATCTCCACAGATCCGTGGTGTCCTACTATCACTTTAATCGCCACGATAATCGGGGTCACCCAGGCACTGGATTCAACTTTGTTTATCACACCATTTTGTTCCATTTTCTGTAACGCTTTCAGGACACCTTCCCGTTGATCGTATGGGAGAACGCGTCGTTTTAGGAAAAGGGGTTCACCGTCCACTTCCAACTTTACCGACGGTACCTTCATGCCAGCAACGTTACCGAAACACTGTACAATCAAATGTTGGAGATGTGAGTTGACTGACTTCTCGTATGTAGTGTAATTGACCCTTGTAGTAGCCGTATTGCTCACAAACACAGAATGGACGGACTGTAGGCTGATACCAGGAATCGGATCGGGATTGACACACCGGACTCAGATTGAACGTACAACATCGTCTCGCCAAGTGATTGCAATTGATAGCCGGTAACCCCATGAATGCGTACTGAAGTCGGAATTAGAACAGTATTTGGACAAATCGAAGTGAGTGCTGATTTCGGTTGGATAGATTCGCTGATTCCTGTGTCCATGATGAATCGATGCTCCACACCAGACTCGAACCCCAGTGGGGCGAAAACGAACTGACCCGCTAACCAGTCAATCGCGAATATCGTTCACCTGTTTGCACCTCAGTGCGACAGAGCCCATCGATAGACCGAAAGACCGTCGCCTTGTTGACCACTGTAGCAAAAGTGACCACATTCAAATTTCAGTTCAGCGCCCCACAGAATTGCAAAA